TATCTACTTTCACTTTAAAAGTTGTTAGGAACGCTCATCACTTTCGCGTTTATGTATTTTTGCGCCAGGTTATTTTGTTAAGAAACACCAGGGCGCCCCAGAAAGTTTATTATTCAAAATTAAATTATTCACGTCTAGTATTTTTATTGGATCAATACAGTGACAATGTTATAACGATAGTAATTTCCATATAATAACCTATTCGAATTTATTGGGAGTACCGGGGTGAAATACTATGGACATTAGATATTTCTTTTGTTAATCCAAGAGAGAGAGAGAATGGGCTCACTAAAAGGCACATTCATAAAAGATCCTTGAGGGCTGAGTGCCGTTTTAGAGTTGATCTACATTTGGATATTAAACGAACAGTGACACATCCTTCAGGGACGTTCAAGGGAAGATTTGACATTTGCCTATACTTGGGAAAAGCAGCAAAACACATCGTACGTCACTGCCAACGCGGCATCGCTTTGAATACGGAGGAATACGCGCGAACCGGCTTAGTAGCGTACAACGTGTTTTGCTTCTATATTCCTTTTTGGTACCCGAATATAGGCGAATGTTACAATCTCCCCTTGAACGCCCAAAAGCATTCGTTTTGTTCGTTTACAATCCAAGTGTAGATCCACTCTCAAATAACACTCAGCCACCAAGCCTCCTTTTAGCTACCAGACCGTACATTTAGACAGCACAACTCTGTGGATTCACTACCCACAAAGCATATGACCTTCGTTGCTTTTTTGCAGTGCAACATCATCAATCATTTGCTTTCTATGTGGAAATTTATAAATACATCATTTATATTGGATGTAACGCCAACAAAAATTAAAATGATCTAGCATTTAGCCCACAAAGTGAATATTCGATTTGAGAAAAAATTTTAGAGTGTGGCCACAGTATACCGTATCAGTTCTCAGCTACGATACCGCTTTACCTCCACAAATTTGAAAAGTTTACTCAAGAAATTTTATGCTCATTTTACTTCCTACGCGATTGAGCAGGGAAGTATTGCAATCGCGAAAAATTTCGAAAATGAGATATGACATATGACACGTACATAACGAAAAACCATGTCACACACATACACATCAAGTAAATACACAATCTATCGTAACTTATTTTTGTCCTTTTTTGAAATTTGCATTCTGCAGTTGCAACTTAAAATTATTGGTCCATGTACAGACAATGCCTTCTATTGGGCCTGTTTTGATTCTATATTTATTTATTCATGTTGTTTGTTCTCTTTGTACATTGAGTGAATAAATATTATTATGTTCCGTGCTCGTCGGAGTAAATATTTAGAATACATATCGTAGTACCCTCGTAGTAGTGCCCAACCGCCACGATTTCAAAGCGCGCACGCAGAGATGGAAAGCGGCACCGCGCCCCTTCCGCCTACCTTTCTCCCCTCTGGCCGCCTATAAACCTTCATTTACTTCAAAGCCAAGTAGTTGCAACAATTGGGTGATACATAGTGAGCGAGGCAGCTATTCACTTCGACGAGGACTTCACATAATTAAGATCGAACATCACTTACACGTAAGTTCGTTTGATTATGTAATTATTATCGTGATCATTTTTGAAAAAAATTTCAGGGCTATAAAATTAAGGGATGGGGGGTTGTAGGGGGTGGGGAAGGGTCAATTTGTTGATGTTAGTATATTTAAGCGTTCCCAACATCTGTAATCCTACGTACCTATTGGCCATACATCACAGATCATAGGTTTCCAGGTCTTTAAAGCTTAGAATGATAGAGAAATCTTCTCGAAACGCATCTCCTGCTAGTATCTGGGCTCAGCACATGGCATAACGGTCTTCTTGACTGTTCTACTCATACTTTGGGCAGCAGCGGTGGCCGCAGTAGTAGACTCCCGTTTTCTCTTGGCTATGGATGTTGTGATTGTCCTTACTTGGTAGACGGTCTCTGACTGTCGAACGCGGAGGTACCACCCAGCGGATCTCGTAGGCGGAGCCAGAATGTGTGCATGTTGCATGCACACGTGTTCCCGCACCAGAGTCCGTGTGGCGTCCCCCCTTTCTCCTGTATCCCCCTATAGCCCCACGGTACCCAATGGGGGTTTAGGCCTCAGGCCTTCGTGATAGTTGGAGTATAAAAAAATACTGCGGCGGTGCTTTGGTGGGCGCTGCCGTGTCTGATTTCTATTGTATATGCTCGTAACTAATGTTTTTCTTACAGGGTTTATTTGACGCCATTTTTTCCAAAATAGAATATTGTTTACAGCAAGCATTCACTATCGGGTGGTTAAAATAACGTCGTCTACTTTCCAACAAGATTCTACCGTCATCAAATATAGGTTCAGTCATGTAACGACTATCAATGAAATTTCCTTTAGCGCGGAGTTTGTTCGCACCTACGTATTAACTTGGACTCGATAATATGTTGAATGTGGTGCTCGTTTGGTCAGTGTGAGCTGGTACAATCAAGTAGCGCCTTCGCATATTTTCTAGCTCGTATTTATAGGCGGTTCGCCCGCGCAGATTCGATGAATGGAAAGCAGATTAAAAAGCGGCAGCAGCGACCGCCTGGAAAATTTAATAACGCCTGCCGGCGACTACGCAGAATGACGCCTGACACGGCTTGATCGCTGCGCTGCTGGAGCTAATTTGAAAAATCTAATACTGATGGAGACTAATCTAGCAGTGGACCAATCCAAAGGCGATAGACCAGGAACTTTAATAAACAAAAAGCGCGCTAGCGCTCGGCCAGTTTCGAGTTCTACCAAAAAGGCCTTAATTTCGGCTGGTCGGAGTCCAGATCAACGAGGATGTGGTCTGACTCGAACAAGAGGCAGCTGCTGGGAAAAATAAGCTATTTGTACATGACTAAGAAGTACTTTTCTCCTACGTGACCTGCTTATTCTGTACAGGGTCCATATAAAACCTAGCCTTGAGAACTGCCCACATGTTTGAGGTGCCGCCGCCTCGACCACATTATCCATGCTCGATGATGTTCCGACTAATCGTTGTCTCTTCTCTAACTGACAGCCTCTGGGCCCTTTCGCACCGACGAGCCGTCGGCGATCTAGCTCTCTTCTACCGTTACGCCACCGGGCCTTGCTCCTCATAGTTCTCCTCCATGATGCCGTTTTTGGAACATCCAGAACTGGCCGATACGATCGCTCCTTTGTCCGTAGGGTATCGAGATTGTCTTTTCCCACTTCTGCTTACAGTTCAGTGCAAAATCAAACTAAAAAAGTTTCTCTAAGCTTCTCATAGCAGCTGCGGTGGCATGGTATTTAAGAGCTTCAGCTTGCGGAGCTGCTTCGGTATAAAAAAACAGTTGAGGCGAAAAATAACGTCAAAATTATAAAAAATAAAGCCAGTACTACCGGGTGTCATGTACTTCAAAAATTTGACTTTGAACTTGTACACGAGAAGTACCTACTTCATGCCTTTTTGGTATCGTGACTTATTCATACAACTGTATCAAAACAGTAACACTGCACCACCCCAAAAATATGACTGTGCAAAGTCAACAAAATTAAATAAACAATGTTCGGCCATAGTTTAATGCACACGGCTTAGATGTGGACCAACATGTTTTGATTATACCCTATTTATTAGCATACCTGAACAAAGAAAATTTCCGATTTCCTATGAACGAAAATTATAAAGAATCCCTGAAGAATTACCCAAACAGAAACGAGATATTTTTCATGAAACCTTGTTGATAGAAGAACTCCTGTACTACTAGGAAACGGCAGCGGGTGGTCAGAATCTGGGTTAATTGTTTCACTAATTGAGATTCGCACCAACTAGCGACAGACTGCGGAGATCTTATCACGTATCTAAAATAAACCTGTCAACCGAGACACTTATATATACTCGCATTGCAAGCCCACCTACCTAAGCTTGTCGAGAAAAATAAACCAAAAATTGTGTACGTATATGTTCGGTCACAAATCATAATAAATGTGGACATTATGAAATAACGTATTCGGATTTTAAACACATGCATCAGGAGAATCACGACACCAAAAATATTGTTTCTCAATAAAAAAGTTCCATATTCTGTTTCCATTATCGCAAGGCCAAATTTGGAATAGGACAATTTTAGATTGCAAGAATTTCTAAAAATTTGCCTTAACAGTTCTTTATACTTTTAATTTTTCTCAGATAGCCAAGATTAGAATTTTCTCCTGTGGATCGTTTAAACATTTGTACATCGCAAAACAAAATTTCCATTTTTGTGTTCACCCTTTCAAAAGCCTAAACCGCTTATTTAAGAGATATACACGTATAGCATTTAGAAAGGTACGAAGAATTAAAGGGGTTAATAATCAAAAACTAGAAGTTCAGGACGTTCTTTGTATGCTGAAGAATCGTACTCTAACCTAAAACGTTTCTAGTTTCCAAACAACAAGAGCTAAGCCGCACGCAAACATGCCAGATTTGGTTGTTCCGAGGTCCCGAAATAGTTCTTTCTCTATGGCCCCTGTATTTTATTACCCAATGGAAACGTGAGAAAGGCTGAATCATGAATGTCTACTTGTATGTATTTACGCACCCAACTAAAGACGGATAACTTACGAGCATCACACACCAAAGAAAATCGCAAGAAGAATTAAAGAAATTTTTTGCATGCAATCAAAGGCGAGAATCACATAACTTACTATTGTCGTAGAAATCTTGCCGCATTGTAAATACCGTACTTAGCACACTGTCACTTTTGGAATTTATAATGTATTAACTTGCTTTGTTAACTGCACGATTTGAATGTTGTGTATTGAACGAAAAGCCAACAGAGTTCTACAGATCGAAATGCTGGAGCCTTCAAGGTAGTTCTGAGAAACTTATGGAACGAAATGTAGAGACTTTTGATGGGAATAAAACTGAGATTAATACTGCATTGGTTACATGTCCTGTTTTAAAACTACATCGTAAAATAAGCTGTCCAGTACTGTACCAAGGCAGATCCTTCCTGTGATCTTTCTTTATACTCCGATGAAGGCCTAAGATCTAAACACCCATGGGGTACCGTGGGGCTATTGGGGGATACAGGGAAAAAGGGGAACGCCACAAGGGAACACGTGTGCATGCAACATGCACACATTCTGGCCCCGCTTACGAGATCCGCCGGGTGGTACCTCTGCGTTCGACAGTCAGAGACCATCTACCACGTACGGACAATCACAACACCCTTAGCCAAGAAAAACATTTCCCTTGGGACAGGATTCGAATCGACAAAGCGCAGAGTCTACTACTGCGGCCACCGCTGCTGCCATTCATTTCCATCAGTTCCAAAAAATATCAATCTCTTGAATGCATGTAGAATACAAGCCCCCCCCCCCCTTCTACGACAATACAAGTTCCTCCTAAAGAGTGCTATTGGAAATATTATGCTTAAATAACGTTTTATCGACACTACATAGTTCAATGCAGTATTAAAACTGTTTATTATGGTGTTGCTCATTCGTAGAAAATACCTAACTCGTTTAGACCTCCAGTAACGGGCTAGCTCTAACGCAATGTTGCTGATATTTTCTTTCAAGGCGTATGAGGATGGTTCAACAATGACATTTTTAATGCCTTATTTCCAAGCTAAAATGAGGTTTTCACTTTCTTCAATAAAGTGGAAAGTTTTGAGTGATTAGCGCTTTTTTATATCGTTTTGGTCTTTGACATTGCGGAGCGCTTCGTTATATTTGTTTCTGGACTCGACGTTGGCTTGTCTGTTCTCTACAGTGGGGTTTTGCAAGAAGGTTCTGTATGCCTTAATCTTTTGCTGACAGTTTCACAAGATTTGTTGAACCAACCGTTGGACCCTGGTTTAGGCACTTTCACTGTACTAGAGATGGAACCCTCCAACCCAACGTGGAATGATTGATAAGCTAAAACCTTCTTTATTTACTGGAATTAAGTGAAACAACCTTTGATGTGTTTGATACAAAGTCCCTCAACAAAAGGTGCGGGAAACTATACCTGCTATTCCCACCAGCTGAGCTATTTTGTTGGCTATAATTTCATTGCTAATTAAAAGCCTCTATGATAGGCAACCATAATTATCCCGAAAACGTCAGGAGTCAAGCAAATACACTATGAGTTGTTGATCACCTCAAAAGACCAGTGGGCTGCTTAGACTTTAATTATAACCTGTACCAATATCGTGCCATATCCACTCAAGGACATTTGAGGTATGCTTGTCTTAAGCGACTAACGCAAAAACCGCATGTTTCCATTATAATTTTCCCGAAATAATAACTTTTTGCGTCACTCACAACTTTGGGTATGTTTTAGGGGAAGGAAGGCTAGACGTCAATGACACATAAAAACACGTAAACAATATTACGTGAAAACCGCACTGATTTACGCACATTTAAAGCCAAATAACGTGGTTGTATGTTACAATGACAAATGCTGTGCACTGCTGCTTTTATAACGTTTTCGATCGCGCTCGATCGATCGTTTCTTCAGCCACATGATAATTTCTGTTATTGATGACAGCCGACGCATCCGCGTCAGCGAAACAAACATTTCTCCAAAGAAAGGTAGAGAAAAAGTATCTGAAACACATAAACTAGATCTTGCACTTTTATTCTTGTTTTATCTAGTAAAACGTAACATATTTTGCTGCTGATGGTCGCCTAGCAAAGTCTACCCACCTCTTCGCTGCATTGCAGTTATCCCACCTTCGTTCGTTACACCCTATACCCCTAGAAATACATATAGGATCCCGATAACGTATCCCGCCGGTTTATAATACAAGCGAACATAAAAGGCGTGTAAATATTGCGATAAAGCGCTGTTCGAACTCGATTTTAGGAATAATAAAAGGCGCGGCGGTACACACAACAATGTAGCAGATCTATGAATATGGGAATATGGGAGCACATACAGCAAACCTAACCATAACCGCGTCGTGATGCTATGCAATTTTGATGAGTCTTCAAGGGTTATGCTTTATTGGTGATGAATATGTCTGCCTATTAAAAAGGTTGGCTCGTCTGCGTTTAAGCTGCAACTACAAACAATTTTCATCTGGCTACTATTGAGTAGAATCAATAGTCAATCGAATTCCAAAGCATTGTTGTCAAACCGTTACATGTTTATTAATATAATGTACAGAGAAATCCAAATATCACTGACGTCGTGATGTGTACAAGAGAGAAGCGCATGCAATACGTATGTAAGGGCGAAAACAGGGAAAGCCGGTTTCCAGCTTACTGGCAACCAGCGCCAATCGGCTGCTATAATAATAGCATGCTCTTGAGTTGGCAATAACAAAATACAGTCTCAGGCTTGTCGGCGCAGGCAGTCGGCGTTACCGGTTTTGCCGGAATGATTATTTAGTTTTTTCTCGCAGGTTGTCAGCGCAGATTGATAATGGATATAGACAAGTTAATTGCATCAGTATACAAACAATGCCCCATATGGGATAAAAAAATAAACAACACAGTAACAGAAATATAGTTGACAAATGTTTGGAAATACCTACTGAAAAAAAGCGGTCGGGGTCATCTTTCAACGCCTTGAACAAATGATGATATGCACCCTCTCACGATTTATGGGGTGAATACTTCTACTTCTACTTTCTAGTGATTAGTTGTCCAATTCAATAAATTTATCTTCAGGTGAGCTAGAACGCGAAGACTACGCTGGAACTGGCCGGTTTTATTTGCTTTTTTCTCGTCAGCACCGTGTCCATGACGAGCGCCGAAATTCGGTACCGATCGGCGCTGGTTTGCCGGTAAGCAGGAAACCGACTTCCACTGTGTTTTCGCTCTTAGAAAAAGTACGCCGCTTTCAATGAGGCAAGCTGCCTCGTCGCTCAGGTTGCTAAGTAACGTGGTGCTACTAGCTCTTTCTAGCATACGTATTGCACACTTCTCGCGCTTCTCTCTCGTACACATTACGACGTGAGTAGTACATGGATTTTCTGTATAAAAATAATAATAATATATGTCTTTATTGCATCATTAACATCACAACATAACATTAAAGAGTACGATGCAAATGGTGGAGTCTAGCCATTACTCAACCAGTATTTGAAAATATAAGAAAAATCTGAATTAAATATATATAATACTATGAACCATAAGAATGTCTGTTATTGTATACATGATAAAGTATTAAATGCTTCTAAGATTTCAGTGTTACTGTGTACATAAAATATATTTCGAGATTGATATTCATTTTAGCCTCAGTCATTTTAAAATCATCGGGGGTAAAGCTGAACAATAACTGAGTATCTTTGACATAAAAAGTTGCACTCGAGTTTTTAATTTTGGCGACCAAATCAAATGCATATATTATTAGCAAGAGGTGCCCTAGAACTGAACTTTGTAGAACCCCTGAAGGAGCATTCTGTAAATTTCAAATACGTGTGTCTAGAACCACCTGTTGCTGTCTGTAAAATATGACGCAGAAAAACGTAGTCCTGGTTTATCAAGTACAAGACAAATACACTTTGCTAGAAGTAGATAATGGCCGGATGCCTTACTAAGATCGAGACAGACAATAACTGTTGTCAGGTTATTATCCTAAAGTTATTATATTATTGGCATTGTGTATTTTTTTATACACCAACTACCACAAAGGCCTATGGCCTAAACACCCGTGGGGTACCGGGGGGCTATAGGGGGATACAGGGGAAAGGGGGAACGCCACACGGACTCTGGCGAGGGAACACGTGTGCATGCAACATTCCGCCGGGTGGTACCTCCGCGTCCGACAGTCAGAGACCGTCTACCACCTACGGACAATCACAACATCCATAGCCAAGAGAAAAATTTCTCTTGGGACGGGATTCGAACCCGCACAGCGCACGGCGACTCATCAGGAGACCGAAGAGTCTACTACTGCGGTCGCCCCTGCTGCCTAAATAATCCCGTACTATAACGCTTGTAAAAGTGAAATGACTCGAGGGATACTCTAACGTTAAAAATTTCATTCTCCTCCCTTACCGAAACCAGCTCAAACATAATAATTCCGTGGAACTGTGTAACGACTCCTGTGACACAATGGCCGTCTAGTTCTACGAAACAATCTGTACGGCCTGCCTTATGCATTATATATGGGCCTGGATCGATGGAATCAAAGGTGGCCGGGCATTCAAGCTACCGCTTGTCTAAATTAATGAGGAACCTTTTGTTGTAGCCCGATGTTCGATTAACGTGCCTATTAGGTTAGCTACAATAGGAAGAATAAGGAACTGCCCCAGGGAGTTGGAATGTTTGCTTGGCCTGCCCGGGTATGTGAGGGTGAATCGCGTCGAGATGATTGAGTTGGATATTATGTATCAGTTATAGTTGGGATCTTGACTTTTACAGAAGGCTTAGACAGGGGAGTTCAGTTATCTCGTGTGTCAAAGTTGTAGTCTAGTCAGCTAAGCTATTGAAACTAATGGTCCACCTAATGTGCCGGTCGTTTGTTTATCCCCGGCGCTTATGCCGCAACATGTTAAAGACCGATTCCATTTTCTCTTGTATACGTACGAGGGATGTCTTTTAAGTTTTGCATATAGAAACATAGTAGGCCACGCGGATCGAACGTCAGTACTGAATCTTAACCTCACTCTTTAGTGAACTTAAATTCAAAGTTTCACAACAATACGTGCAGTGTTCTCACTACAGTGAATTTTTAAGTGTCATCAAGTCATTAGAAAAATGGAACTCAACCGAGAACATTTTCGCGCCATAATTTATTACAACTTTCAGAGACAATTATCGCAACAAGAATGCCTTGCTGAGTTACTGTCTGTTTTCGGCAACGAAGTGCCACATCAGTCGACAATTTCCCGTTAGTATGGAGAATTCAAACGTGGACGGGTGAGTCTTAGCGACGATCCCAGGGTGGGTGCACCAAAAACGGCAGTCATCCAGGATAACGTCGATGCTGTGCGCAAACTCATCATTGAAGATAGACATGTGACATATTGCGAGATTGAGGCGCCCTTGAAGATCTCAAAGACCTGAATTCAAAGAATTTTACATGAAGAATTAGGAGTAAGAAAATTAGTTTCTCGTTGGATACCCCACCTGTTGACTGAAGAGCAGAAAGCAGCCAGGGTTAATTGGTGTCAAAAAACGCTTGACCGTTTCAATTCCGGAAACTCAAAAAATGTGTACAGCATTGTTAGTAGTGACGAATCGTGGATTTACTGATATGAACCAGAAAATATACGACTGTTGGGTGTTCCAAAGTGAAGAAAAGCCAACAAAAGTCATCCGTTCTCGAAGTGTTTCGAAAAAGATGGTCGCGACATTTGTGTCAAAAGCGGGTCATATTGCGACAATTCCTCTTAATGTGCAAAGAACTGTTATTGCGGATTGGAATACCACCATTTGTTTGCCAAAAGTCATCACCGAGCTTCGAAAAATCAACCCCGAAAGAAGAATCGTCCTCCACCAAGACAATGCAAGCTCGCACACAGCCCAAAAAACAAGGCAGTATTTAACGGAAGAAATCGTGGAATTATTGGACCATCCTCCATATAGTCCCGATCAAAGTCCTAACGATTTCTTTACTTTCCCGAAAATTAAAAACAGACTGCGTGGTCAAAGGTTCCAGTCACCAGAAGAAGCAGTTGACGCATTAAAAAATGCCGTTTTGGATCTGCCAGCAAACGAGTGGAATAAGTGCTTCGAAAATTGGTTCGAGCGCATGCAGATGTGTATTAATCTTCGTGGAGAATACTTTGAAAAACAATAAAGTAATTTAAAACTACCTACCGTGTTGTTTTATTTCCATATGCAAAACTTAAAAGACATCCCTCGTAACAGATTAAATTGATAATTTTAGTAAATTACAGCACGTAACATGTAGAAACATTCAAATGAAGCTTACTGACAATAAACCACTTGCTTACGAATTTCTGTAATGTGTCATATGAGAAGGTTTTCATATCAACAGCATAAAACGAATGATAGCCATATACGTTACAGATCTTAAACCATTTGAATAAGCATTATTGAATCCATTCTCTTAAAAAGACCACATAAATGACAAGAGGCGTGCATGAAATCTAAGTGAGAACAATCTTCTCAAAGGAAAGCAATGTTCTATTTTGTCAAACGCCTTCAAGCGGTCAGTGTAAATTACGTCAACTTGGTTATGATTATCCACATATTCAGATATGTTTTTCAACTGCTCCCCCTCTCCATTGCATTTTTTAAACGGGCGAGCTGTAATTCGGGATGATAAAACCGGTGCATGAATACTATATTTTAACGTAAAAGTGGTAGCTGAGGATTTCAAGACGGCGACTGGGCTGGGTTTCTAAAACTTGAGATGTTCCAATTGGAAAATAATTTAAAGTAATCTCAAAAATGGGCAGCTTTTTCAAGCGGAAAGTGTCGTATTTTATTTATATTTAGATGTTCCCTCCCATAAGCTGTAGAACGTTGGAAGCCAGTCAGTGCGTTATTTTGAAAGATAGTAAATTTATACTCCAGTGGTTTAAGAAGAAGGAACATTGTCAGATCCAGTAGCCATTTTGTCTTTGCACATTTTCATCAAATACCTCATCTCAGGATGGTTATCAAAAGAGTCATGTAATTATCGTAAATGTCTGAATTTGTGTGAATATACTCTGAATATATTTTGCAAAGTTATCAACAATTTCCCGAAGCCATCACTCGCATCTTTGTCTTTATATTGCCAGGACTTCTAGTAGATTTTTTTGTTATAGGTGAAAGACCAAATTGTTTTGAATCGATATGAATAAATTTAAGTACGGATTTGAAAATGTTCATCTGCGCCTGTGGTTTTAGAAATGGCCAGTATAACAAAGATAAAAATAACAAGTTATTATGAATGGATAGCTGAGCTTTACAAATTCTTTTAAACCTACCATATTCAAAATCACTGAAGGCATACTATAACGCAACTTACTGATATGAACATAGTTTACATCAGCATTGGTAGTATTAGTTAATGCAAGCTGACGAGCCATTTGCATTGATACAATCAATAAGATCATGGAACATTTGTCTTTTACCAGTCAGACATACCACATACATAGCTAATTTACCAGAACGAATTCAAAATTAATAATATACACGACTGTCTGTTTATCACAGGTGGATTTTTCATGAATTATTACGAGCGCCAATTACCTGATAGTAATTTGAAATTGCTGTGTGGGAGGCTGTAATAGTTTGTATAAACTGATCGACGACTTTCCATCACAATCAATCAGTTAGTCGATTGTTGACCTTGTATTTTGTCGTTAATGTAGGTAACTGAAATTCCTTCACCGTTACACCGAAGCCCGTTGATATAAGACTCAAAATTTACATTATTTGTGGTTATCTACACCAAGCATGCTAGAATGCTGTTGATTGAATGATAATATTTTGTATAAGTTTATGTCTGCAGTAGTGGTTCCGCAGTAGTATTATGTAAGTATATAATCGATTGTAATTACGACTTAAGGTCGGCCGTGACATTTTAAAACTGTCAAAAAGTTGTAGTTCCAACCACATTAAGCTACAGTTGCAGTCACCGTTCTAGGCGGTTACGTCATCAACGTCATATGAAATAAGTAAGACAATTGAGCCTCCGTACCATGGGCAGAACACTACCCAGACTAATTTTCAGCGCATCTGCTACTCTCACTAGTACGCATGAAGTGGGTAATTGGGGACAGCTGTTTTTATTCTCTTCCTGGAAATGCTCTAACAAATTTAGCACGAGCTGTCGACCTTCTCCATTGATCGTATTTCCGGGCATTGTACAATTTTATATTGAAGATTGGACAACAGAACTGGCCGATACAACCGATCCTTTGTCCCGAGGGTGTCGAGATTGTGGAACGTTCTACAAGAGGGCAGCAGCGGTGGCCGCAGTAGTAGGCTCTTCGGTCTCCTGATCAGTCGCCTTGCGCTGTGCGGGTTCGAGTCCCATCCCAGGAGAAATTGTTCTCTTGGCTATGGATGTTGTGATTGTCCGTAGGTGGTAGACGGTCTCTGACTGTCGAACGCGGAGGTACCACCCGGCGGATCTCGTAGGCGGAGCCAGAATGTGTGCATATTGCATGCACACGTGTTCCCTCGCCAGAGTCCGTGTGGCGTCCCCCCTTTCCCCTGTATCCCCCTATACCCCCTCGGTACCCAATGGGTGTTTAGGCCTTCGTGGAAGTTGGAGTGTAAAAAAAGGAAGCTTTTTCCAGTTCTACTAACCTTAGGCAGTTCAAAAATCGTATTAACAAAATTTCTTTGGGATGATCTTAGCAGCCGCGATGTCCCAGCATTTAGGCTTCTACCTGCAGGGCTGCATCGGTATAAAAAAAAATCGAATTGCAACGAGTCTCCAACAGCGGCGATGCATTGGAGCACGATGTTGATTTGCCTATAAATATCAACAATCTTCTCTAATCAGAAACGCTATAAACTTCATCACTCCCCTGTGTGGCCCAACCTAACTGATCTCGTTGAATGACGTCGTCTTTTCTAACTCCGTATCTCATTCAACAAGAAAACGAAGCTCCAAAACAAAAAAAGACGACTACGATATAATTCACCACGAGGGACCCTCCGAGTATTCCAGAGACACGCTAGCCCACATTTACCGGGAGATTTAACATGCACACGATCCCGCCCCCTACAGTCCTCACACCGCCTAGCAGTTATGTGTCTTTGTCCGGAACAGCGAAAAAGTAAATTATTCACTCGGAGATCGTGTTAAATAGCAGAACAGTTCTCCAAGCTGCTACCGAAGACCATGTTGCCCGTTTAGACTCGGACCAAAGACGTAGATAGAGACTCATTTTAAGAGGGACGAGAATGACTGGACATGTACCATACTGATGAATGCTAAAAAGCATGAAGCAAGGTTGTATATAGTTCCGATCATTTTGATTCCGATTCTGGTGGTTTCGTTTCCAATTCCTATTATATTTGAACCAACTATTTGAATTCGCGTATCGGTGCTACCTCAACGCAGACTCAC